AATACAACTAATTTTTCAATGTGAACCAGTAGTTCCTGAGATTAGCGCGTTTAAACAAAAAAACCATTCAGCTTTATAATATTTGTATACATTTTTATATCCATATTCTGAGTACTATTGTAGAATATTATGAAACAAGTATTTTTTTTATTTTATAGATAATTTTTGAACTATGAATCGTGCAAGGTCAAGATAAGTTAGTTACGACATTACAATAAAAATATGGCACCTATATTTATCTTTTATCAGTGTCTATCTTGGTTATTTACTTAAGAATAATCCTTGATTTATCGTTTGTGTCGTTCATAATATTAATAATTGTAAGATTTATTGTGCCACATACAAGGATTTTGGCTATATTTACCTATGTAATTTGTTTAATTCTAAAAGAATAAATTTAAATTTAATTCATTTTAATTCAATTTAAAAAGTTTACACAAATAATTATAAAAAATCATTTTCGCCTATATTAATTGCGCATTTTTATTTTTCCTCCTTATTGAAAGTCATTTTTTCTGTGATTAGGTATCTGCCTCTAGCACACCATTCCTTCCATAATACGGGTTCTTTCTTAACAAAATCTATTTATTTAGCAATCACTATAAATCTAGCCTAGTACAAAATAATACGAATAATAAAACAATAACACTATATAAAAAGTGAGTCATAAACTCTTTAATATGCGTCGTACTTGGCTCGCGGGTCAAGTTACTGGAAAATATTTTATTATTGTTTTTATTTGAGTCCTCAAGTTGTTTACTGAGTTCATATCAGGTCTTTGTCACACTATTTTCAGCCATAATCTAGGTATCAACTTGCGAAACAGATATATAATCTATTCGTAATGTACTTAGGTCTGTGCTATGTGTAAAACCAAAAGAGGTCGACAGCAGCAGTTTAGAAGTTATATGACTTGGGTATCACATTCTTCAAATAAATCCCATGTTTGTCTGCCTATATATCATAAAAATTATAATAAATTATATTTTGTATGACACATACCTTTGTGTCATTAAAAACGACTGGTTGTACTGAAAGTCTATGACCTATGACCGCAACTAAACGAGTGAACTATCAAACTTAAAGTTTATAGACTGGGATCATGCATTTTAAATTTTTTATCTATGCATAGTAGAATTTTATAACGTACGTTTTTGTAAAATGTGTGCGTAAAATACTGTCTATAGTTTACGCGAGTAGTACACATTTAAATATAACACTTTAACGGTTTAAAACGCGATATATTAGTTAAACTTATTTGGAAATGATTTTTAACTAATATATCGCGTTTTAAACCGTTAAAGTGTTATATTTAAATATGTGTGCGTAAATTCAGAAAGTAAGAAGTACTATTAGTCTACAATGAATATAATACTAGAATATAAAATAATAATGAAAATGAAAATGATGTTATTGGCATAATATTACACATACAAACGATGAAAATATGTTGTAGTAGAATGTTCCTTCATACAGGAAGTACGTTTAACGCCGGAAGTTGACATAACATAGACAAACCTTGCCCGAACGACAAGCCCGGTAAATCTGCATAATTTACCTCATTTAGTTATATTTAAAAAGTCTTGCAGTTGTTTTTATGTTTATCCGACTTTATCGCGGAAAATACCCAAGGCTCGCTAAAATGCGTCTTAAATCCGTTCGATAAAGCAATGGTTTGATTATTTTTGAATTTAATAGTTCGTTGTTTGTTGTCGATTTGTTCGTGCAAGTTTGTATGGTTTCAGTGCCTGTTCAAGTTGATATTATATTAAATGAAAATAAACGTGAAAACTTATGGGTCGATAAGCCGTACGTTAAACTACTTTCAGAGCAGAATTATTTTCTGTTAAAAACTTAGGTACTATTTTTTTAATCATAGAAAAGGACTGGCACGGAGCTCTCTTGATGGAATATGAAATACGCCAGCCTTATAATATTTTTAACATGATGCGCTAGCGCCCTATTTTGGCTTAGGATATTCGGATTTCGACTGAAACCGAAAGGCGATTAAACTACATGGCTTTTTCACTTGAGGACGGTGGTTCCTGCCCGGGTTCCGATTTCCTATCACCCATTATTTCTCCAGTTTTATAGACAAAGTCCAGCATATTAAAGACTAGAAACATTTAAATTATTCCGGTTGGGATCGTAGCAGGACACGTTGATTTAGCCATATGTTACTACCATTATACTAACGGGCCCGTAAACGCCATATTTTCTATTGGTGTCATTAAAAAAAATTAAACTTTGGATAATTCAGAATCCAATCGTAATAATATATTTTACATGACGTATTTAGCGCCCCGAATCTCTTTCAATATCAGTTATTTTCAAGAACCTAGATTTAAAATAGAGGCCTATTTTTCAAAAGTCTATTGTTAACACTTGAACAATGATATATGAGCCATTTATAATGTTGTATGAGAGGAATTGCTCCAAATTTCTTTTGTCGGAGTAATAAAAATGTGAAGAGTTACGTAAAACTAGTTGGTACTAGGAACGCATAATTTTAAGAAATGTAGGACACGAGGAAGCTAATATTTTCAAGTCACAAATATATCTGTTTGAATTGCGACCGTTTCTGACGCAATGAAAGCGAATTTATAGATAAATATTGTTATAAGAAAATCTTAATTTTTTGACATATATATTTGATATGTTCAAGACACTGGGGAGGTAATTATGTTACACACTTATTAATTAAAAATATGAATGTTGGTTTAAAGTGATAAAAAAAATTGAAATCGGAAAAAAAAGTAGTTTTGATTACCAACAAAATAACTCTTCCTCTTTGTATATTACTTTACATTTTATTAACTTGCAAAGTTTTTTTGTTTTTTACTTTATTATCTGTTCTTCCTTAGTTCTTTGACCTCAGTATCACATCATCACATCACCTACATACATAAACTACAGTATATGAACCGTTTTCAGTAAATTTAAACGAAAAGCTTTAACAAGTTATAGTACTTTGACAAGCATGTAGCTCTAATGGTAGCAATGTTTGCCTAAAGATCGAGGGGTCAAAGGGTTCGATCCCCAGTAGGTACAACATGATTGTAAACAATTTATATTTTTCTGACACATGTTCGACTATGTCTGAAAGTATGAATATTTAAATAAAACACTTGAACGGTTTAAAACGCGATATATTAGTTAAACTTATTTGGAAATGATTTTTAACTTCGGCCCGACGTTTCGGATGCTTTGCACCAGCCGTGACCACGGCTTATTGCGTTTTAAACCGTTTAAGTGTTTTATTTAAATGTGTACTACTCGCTTAAACTATAGACAGTATTTAGTATGAATATTAAATGGATGGAATGTATATCAAATATTCGTCCGGGTCAGGAACCACCGCCCACAGATAAAAAACTGTGAAGGTAAATCACGTTTCGGTTTACCTCTGTGGATATTTTAAATCGAAAGCGCATCTTGTTAAGATGTTATATTCGAGCATTTCACCTATCATCAAGTTAACCAGGTGCTTGCGTGTCGTCTCTCAAAAAAAAAATAAACAAAGCAAATTCTGATTTAATTCACTGTCACACCTGTTTACGAAATAGGTGTGACTGAAAGCGTGTAATTTTATTTAACACGATTTAATTAGTTGATTACACTGTAGTAAATCATTGGGTTACGCTCGACTGTGCCGAACCTGAGATCCAATTCTGGTAATTCTCGAATCAGTTACATCGAGCGCGACTGTCGTTACGACACTCGACAGGCCAAATTCAATGGCTGTGCAAAATAACCAGTGTTGTGAAATTGATAAGCCATTTCATTAGTAGACTCCTAAATAATATAATTTAATGGTACAATTTAACGGTTTAATGCTAGCAATGTATGGCTAATAATCAACAGGTCATGTGTTCGGTTCCCCATCGGGTCCAACATTTTTCTCATAAACCATACTTCGTCTGGAAATCTGATATAAAATGGGTGGTTGGAATATCGAACTTCCGTCAGGCGTGACGTGATGAAAAAAGCATGAAGTTCTGTTGATTTATGAATGTCGAAAGCCAATAATGGGTCGATAACGCATCATGTTAAGCTAAAGTGCTGGGGTTTAACCTTCCATGGAGAGTTTTTTCCATGAAGGCACAAACAAATATGTGTATTTGTCAATTGTGCTTTGTCATTAAATAATAGTACAATACTGACTGGCGAGAGGCTAGTGTAAATAGCAGAATCGGGGCTTAGCCTGACATCTGCAGTTCGTTGACCCGAGACGCGGGTTTGCCCCTAGGCACCGGTCCTTTTCATTTCCCTCCCTTTGTCTCTCAAAGTTTTTGAATAGACGCTTTATACCAGCTTTTGAGCACGAAATTCCATAGTTTGCGTTTCTACCAACATTAAAAATCCACTATTTTTAAAATGCATATTTTTCATCAACTATATTTTCAAGTTACTCAGAGTTTAAAATTCTTTGTTATTACGTTTTATAAACTGGAAGAGTGTAGTTGTCAGGTTGATAAATTTAATAGGTCGATCTACTATACAAATAAAACCGAATCAAATAAATATCAAATATTTCGCGTTTTATACGTTAATAGTATTTTTTTTTAACTTGTACTACTTGCGTAAATAACAGACAACTTGATCAATTGTATGTTTAAAATAAATTTATTTTAAAGTGGGCGTATCACGTGCATTCATGTAATATATTGTTCGAAAAATTTTACGATTGTTACAAAAAGTGTTCACTAATCGATTTTACTTACAGACAAGTAGTTCATCAGATCTGATCCACCGAAACAATCTATGTTTCGCCGGGGCTCGAACCTACGATCTTTCGCGCTTAAAATGCGTTTAACAATTTAGCTACAGAGTCGGATTCAAGATGATTTTTCAACATTATGTTTTCAAGGTCCCATTATAATCCAATGTAAAACATTTCCTTGTTACCTTATAAAATGCATCCCTTCTTATCAGTCATTCATTTGTTTATTTAAGCATCAAGTACTTCCCTGTTGTAACGCGATTTTCTTTGTCCTTAGTGGTGTACTGCGACTACAGCGGTTCGGGACGAGCGTTGCAATGGGTAGAAGACTATATACAGAAGGATGTACTGCCTACCCAGGCGACAAGATGTACTGCTCTCTCGGTTACATCTGGACAAACAGAAATATTTCGGTAAGATATATCTACATAATATCTATAGGTTACTAGAGTAGTACACATTTAAATAAAACACTTTAACGGTTTAAAACGCGATCAATGTTAAGGAGACTGACCACAGCTGCTGCACAGCGTCCGAAACGTCATGCCGTAGTTAAAATAAATTTTTCATCTATTTTAAATCAATGTTAATATTGTTCGATTTAAGAACGTTAAACTCATTAACTGGCTTTAACCATCTCTTCGTCATAAAATCAGAGATTAGTAGGTAGCTATGAGTCATCAATGGGTAACGTAAGGAAACTTACAGAGAAATATTATTTATATGTTTACCGCTTATTTTCAGATCAGAATCCAAGGACATAATTCGTAAATCAGTTCGCGCCTGTGCTGAAGATGTAATTGTACTCGGCGCGTCTCTCACGAGGTTTCTGAGAACACTTCGGCCGCAGAAAGCGTGTGTTTTTGTGTCCTCACGGGAGACTGAGAGGCAACTTGCGCCGTGGAGGGAATGTGGGGCCGAGGTAAGAGTTTACCCTTATAATACAAGACTGCATTAGAAAAAAACACTTTTAATGGCGCTAGCGTAGCAGTTTTTATTTTGACATTACGGCCACGATCCGTCTTCAGTCGCCCCGTAACAACGGTTGCTGAAAACAAACCGAAACGTCGACCCGTAGCAGTAAATAAGTTAACTTATACATTACGCTCATTAAACCATTAAAATAAAGTGTTTTATTTGAATATGTACTACTAGCGCAATCTTCATACAATACTTAACATTTCCGAATGGCTTTGTAGTCAAAATAGGTCGACAACACATGCTTGTCTCTCCTCTATCTCCTCTTGGTAAATGCTTATCCCCCTAAAGGCTCGACTTATTTCGACACGACTTCATGAGATAAATGGGGATATCCAGAATATACTTAACATATTGGTATTAGGTATACCATAAGTAACTAACACTAATCTTCATTAATGTCGAAGTTTGTATATAATATTTATTCTCGTTCAAATTCAAAAGCAAATCCAAAACGAATCAATTGAATTTTCAATACTATTAGTTAAAAACTACGCAGGTTCTAGTTATAGCATGAAAAATTTTATCGAGCTGTTGTTATTGTATCGCTTTCAAATACTTTTTGTTTCTTCAGTTCAATTGAATTTTAAATTGACACAGTTCTCTTGTTACAAAAACAATTGAACTTTGCAAGTGAAAGTTATGAAAAAAATAACGTTAATGTAGACGTTTACTTTGTATTCAAGATTTTGTAGAATTCCATTTTCTAATATAAAATTATTTGAAAATGGAAAATGTTCAACATTTGGAAACTTTGTTCCAATTACAATTGTGTTTTTAAGTTAGTCAATTTATAAGGATAAACAAATATATGTAGTTAAACCTTAGTTCAGGCAAGTTTACTTACATATAAACGTTTTAAGCCATCGAAAAAGTGTTTTATTGAAATCATATGTAACAAAACCTAGTTTACAAATAAGAGTAGGCATAAAAAAGTTTGAAATTATACTAAAATACTTGACTACAAAGTAATTATGTTTGCAAACTTCAATATTTTGCATATGATGTTTCTATATAAAATAAACGCTATGTAGGACTCGGTGGCTAGTTGACTACACAACAGCACGGAACGCTGTGGGTGCCGATTCAAGTTCTTTAAGGTCGTTTTTAAATTTTATCGATTTTTAATCTATAAAGTAATGATGTATATGATTTAATTAAATTTAAATATTCAATAGATATATTTATATATATGTCTGTAGCCAATGCCATAGAACCACCTACTTTCCCACGAAATCATCGAAATCGATTCATAAACGACAAAGTCATTCTTGAACAAACAGAAAAATTGAGAAATGTTTTGAAGTCGGTTAAAAAATGTTACAGTACTCGTGTACATTCATATCCTCAACATTGCAAAACAGCAATACAAATTAACGTAAAAAACACGATGTTTTCCGCAATTCCCACTATCGCGTTGCACAGGTCACGTCTAAACCTAACCTGTGTTACGTAACGTCTAGTGTCAACACACAGCACGGCAAATTCCTTGTCAATAGCAGTAATTAATTCATGCAGTTATGCTGTAATTTTTGCTGCCATTATTCTTTGTAGTTATAGTTTCACGTGTCCACAGTTGGACATAGGCCTTCCCCATAGACTTCCAGTACAAGTGGTCGTTCGCTAGTACTAGACTGCTGCTTCTCCAGCATTATATGCGCGTCTTATTGCTATAGTTTTATCTTACTGTACTGAGGTCGCTATTTCTTTATTTCAAATTAAATTTTCATATTTTATATTAAATAGAAATTTTACAAACAAAACAAAACAATATAGTGTATAAATATAATTACCGTATTGGAAAACAAAACGTTTGTAAATTATAACTATCTTTCTCATTAATATTTATCTATTACCCATTGTTTTCTTTTTAGGCACTTGTAAAATCGCAAGATCCGTCCTTATTTCATTGTTGGTAATACATAAAGCAGAAACTTTAAGGCATTACATAAAATACAATAAAAAACTACTTCATCTACTACCACATCGGATGGACACTATATTTCGCGTTGTAAACCGTTAAAAGTGTTTTATTCTTTAAATAAAATACTTTAACGGTTTAAGACGCGATATGTAGCAGTTAAATTTGCTTTGCAACAGCCGTGGTCATGGCTGCTGCAAAGCACGAAACGTCGGGCGAAATATACCGCGTTTTAAACCGTTAAAGTATTTTATTTAAATGTGTACTACTCGCGTAAATGAAGTGTTTTATTTTTCTAATTAACTAGACAGTAGACGGACTTATTTTATTACTTTTGTCGGAGTTATCGTTGATATCTAGACGTTTGAAAATGTGGTAATTACACGAGTTACAATAAAAATATCTTTATAGTAATCTCACGTGTCCATCCACACTAAACTACTGTTGGCCATCCACACTAAACTACTGTTGGGGACTCATTGACCATGAGTTTGTGTGGACTACGTTTTAGGGTCAGTCACGAGACGCCATTTTTACTTCCGTGTAGAATTAAGCACAATTTATACCTAATAGTAGTAAGTTGGAAAAACTATCTAAATGAAATATTTTCAGCGATGAAAAAGGAAACAGTGGAAAATGAAAAAACAGAGAAAATTATTGATCTGGGGTCTTCCGATGCTTGTCAATTGAACCCTTAAAGTGAACAACAGTTGAAGGTAAAAAAATGTATCAAAGAATCATTCCTCTTTGAATAATCTAAAACCGAGATAGTATATGTTTATCTTTCAAGGTCTAAAATCCAAAGATAAATAATAAGTTCAGTTTTTCCACATTTTCCCCTGTTTCTTAACTTCGGTCAGAGCGTGATGTTATAGAGCCTTCAAAAGAGGAGAGAAATAATCTCTCAACTCGTGCCTGAAATTAGCAAGTTTAAACATACAAACAAACTCTTCAGCGTTATAAAATTAGTATACATGAATGAAGTTACATTGTCGAAGAGGCAAAGCATCAATACGACATACTAAGCATTAAGCATCAAAGGAAACCATATATATGTGTGGCATGTATTTACCGATACAATCTCTTTACTCGGTTGTTCACCTTCTAATTTCGGCTTACACTATGCAAGTAATCGATTCTGAAAATTGTGACGCGGTTAACTGCTTAACGGTTCGACGGGCTTATTGATCTAGTAATTTATATACTTATAATCAACGGGCTGTGGGTTCAGTTCCTAACAGAAACTTTTAGCGAATTTCATCAAAGCGTGCAAAAAAAATGACTACAACCCCACGTTTCGAATGCTTTACAGCAGTCAAAGTCACGGCAAGTGCTAAACAACAAAGTAAAATTAATCGACTAATATAACTCGGGTTTAAAACCGTTAAAAAGTGATTTATTTAATGTGCAACACTCTACGTATAAATGGACATATACTTAATAATAGAAACTATAATATAATCTGTCAATACTTACTTAATCCTAGACAAACCGAAGAATTTAATAAATAAGTACTTAGTCTAGTTTTAACATATAAAATTCACGTATCATTCCATCGTTTGAATACAAGATGTTTCCATTTCTGATTTTTGCGCTGAAGGACAATTTCACACGCTACATATCCGCAATGATCCTATTGCATGTCTTTTAAGAAATTAACATTCATAGACATTTTAAATTTATTACTGTTTGAAAAAGCGACGGAGGATTTTCACTCTTTACATTTTCTCGACAATACCACAATTCAAGTCATCCTTTTAATTACGAATAATTGCACATAATATTTTAAACACAATACCAACTGCATAATTAAGGAAAATACTTCGTCTAATATAGGATAACACTAGAGAAATACGTAAATAATATCGTACTTTATTAAGAAGAATCTGGCCCCATTTAGTAAAGTAAAGGAAAAATACTATTATTTGTTTATTTTTGGGGGGCACTAAATTAACATAAAATCATTAGAAATGCATTTTCTTTGTCATATTAACTTTGATGAATAAAATTAATAATCGTATTTCATACTCATTGTCAATTGTCAAACTAATCATTCTATATTAGACATAGTATACAGTCGATGTATAGCTATGATATTCAATTACTTTTAAATATTCGAAAGATTTTATCGTGCAAACAAAAAGGATGTGCAAATATGCGCTACGGACTATCGAATACTAATAGCTTTTATCATTACAGTTGATCAAGATACCAGAAACAAAGGAGGGGTTCATTGACCTGAACAATTTGGAGTTAAACCTACAGGAAAATACGGGAACAGGGAAGCGTATGATCGGATTTTTCCCAGCGGCGTCAAAATTAACAGGAGTCCTGGCCGATGATGTAGCCACCACGTTACTCCTACATCAGTATGGCGCTTGGGCCTTCTGGGATTACACTCTAGTCGCCCCCACTTCGGCTGTGGATATGAACCCAACTTTTCCAGGAGTGGAAGAAGGCATGGTTAAGAAGGATGCTGTGTTCTTCAATTGCGAGAAGTTTGTTGGCGGCGTTCAGGGACCCTATGTCTCGATATTTAAGAAGGATGTTTTTAAGAATTCACCACTCTACAGTGATGAGGTTGAAGTAAGTCCAAACGATATTAAATATTATTAGAAAAAGATGAATATACAAGATTTTAGTTCCCCCGTAGCTACTGTAGAGCATCTAAAAGGTCAGCTTTCTTACTTTACTAAGTTAAAAATAATTAACTAATACATTTCACATTTCAAACTGTTAAACATTGTTCTAATTATGATGGGTAAATGGTACAAAGTATCAGATATAGAAATATGTCTGCCTAAATGCTCACATACGATATGGACTTGTTAGCTTTAGTTAGCTTATCTAAACTTATATTATAAAGCTGCAGAATTTGTTTGTTGGTTTAAACGCGCTAATTTCAGAAACTACTGATTAGAATTATTTTTTTGTGTTGTTGAGAGCATTTATGGAGGAAGGACTATAAAATAACGCGATCTGACTTAAAGAAGCGAAGAAACAGCGGGTAATGTGAAAGAGACGAGGAAAATTATTCATCCTTGCGGGTTTCCGTTGCGTACGCTACGAAAACGTTTCAAGATACCAAAAATATGACAGAATGATTCCTCTTTAAATGATCTAAAAAATGCACGCGTCATTATATGTCTATCTTTTAAGTAGAACTTCAAGAACGACGGGACGCGACCGACGTCATGCATATAAAACTATTTACAATAATGGTACATAGTGAGGTTGGTAATGGTACATTGAGGCTTTAATGGTATGACGACTATTCCAGATGTTAGCGGAAAGAATAGAAGAGATAAGGTGCATAGAAGCAGTGAGGGCTGCTATCGTTATGCAGCTTCGTGATGCCATTGGACTGCAGATGATTGCGGATAAGCAGGATCATATTACCAGGTAGGTCACAATATTTCCAATAACCCTAGTGTGAGTTTACTAATGAAAACCTTTCGAGTTGTATTGAATCTATCGTTAAAAGGCGATATTGATTGATTTGATACTTTAACAACGATTGATGAAGTGAAAACACTACGACGTTAATTATCAAAGCAACACTATGGTTTCTAAAAGTTAAACGAATTGAGAAATATGATTAATAAAAAATATTAAAAAAAAACATTTGAAATCGTTTTAATTTAGGAAATGTTTTATAAATGATAGATGAATAATACCAATATAAAATATATTAATAGAACAATAACAAACATTTTAAACTAAAAAGTCGATTTTTACCAGATCTAAAATATTCCTTAAAAACAATTTTATAAATTTTTTGGAAACAATTGAATCTGGTCATTGAGAGGTCACCAGCGTATTTTATTTAGATGTTATATGGCTAAAGTAAACAAGAAGTAAAAAAACCTTCCATCAAGTGAATCGCATGCTTGTGTCGTAAAAATATGTGTCAAAATGTTGATCACACATGTTCATGATATAAACGATAGCGGAATTTCCTCAATTGGGTCATTCTGTCCAAAAACAATTTGGCTCTTGGACATTTTGATCGAAGCCAAATGGCACAGTGGGAATAATGATATAAGCATTATTTGCCATGATGCTTCAATTTATGGACGCTCGTGGAAAATAGTTATTTTGGAACATTTCATATTGTTCACTGACAATAAAGTACATTGGCTATTGAATAAAATAACATAACAGTATTATTTTTTTCATTTACTATTTGATGTCCTTGTTACAATTTGTTCGCTTCAATTACGATTCTTTTACTTTTTTAATATTGAAAAAGAATCATGACACGACCGGGACTTGAAGCTGCATCCCATTATTTTATAACCAACACAAAAATAATTTTTGAAAACGAACCAGTAGTTCTGAGATTAGCGTAGTCAAACAAACAAATTCTTCAGCTTCATATCCCAAACATGACGTAAATAGGCAATGCAATGCACATAACCAATATTGTCTCATAACATCACCTTATTTCGAATTATGAATATAAACACAGCGGGAAGGCGCCACAGTGTTGCCAAGTGGTGACTGCGTCATTCTATTTGTGCGTGTGCTATTATTGACCCGGTAGATCTGAGATTTACCATGTGAACTTCAAGGTCTCCGAAGATCTATTTAATCTTAATCATGACACTTCTCCGAGACGACTTAATCTTCGGAAGATTTCGCATGTTTATTTGACGTTCGTATTTATTTTTGCGAACTTATTTGCTTTATGTTTTAACGTCGCCGTGACTCATGGTAGTTAAAGCAAAAATCAGAGGAAGGTTAATTAATCGCTTCTGTTAGGCAGCGCAAGTCAATCAACTGTTTGGCTGTTTAAAAAAATTAAACGGTTTAAAACACGACATATACTAATTGTTTAAAAACTATTCTAACTATGGCCCGAAGTTTCGGATGCCTTGCAGCAATTGTGGTGATGGGGAAACGTCGCAGCGTATTTAAAATAAATTGTAAATAAGTGTTTTATTTAAATGTGTTCTTCTCGCCTAAACTACGGGCAATAACTGTTAATAAATTGAACAGTGAAACGTATACATTTTTTTTAATAAACAGCTTTTTAGTAGTTCCCACAGCTGGGACTAACCGACCATCTTACACTTAAGTTTTTTGCACATCTGAAGATCGAAATAAAATACGAAAGTTTGTTACGAATAATCATACAGCTCTCAAAACAAAAATAGTGTTACTTAAAAGACGACAGTTCCTATAAGGGGTATTTTTAAAAGGACATCGCTAAATAGGGAAGGAACTTGACATTAGGAATGGAGAAAATTTCCACCTTCCTATCAGTTTGTGCTGTTTCCGAGTTATTAACGCGCTCAGGGTTGTTCAATTACTCAATTGACATCAATTTCGTCCGGAAAGCTACTTCGAATATTTTCGCATTTGTGAAAATTTGAAAGATGACATTTTCTCTTCCAGGAATAAATTAATGTTAACGTATTTCTGGAATAGAAATGGGTTTTTAATACGTGGCCTATATAACAGACGTTATTCTGCAGCAATGGTTCTGAAGATCCTTCTTTTATTTTGACTAATTTTTAATATGTATTTTGATTTACTTTAACGGTTTGAAACGCGATATATAAACTTATTTGAAAATTATTTTAACTACGGCTCAGCGTTTCGGACGCTATGCAGCGCTCGTTGAAATAATTTTAACTAATAAATATATTTCGCGTTTTAAATCGTTAAAGTGTTTTATTTGAACTGTGCATTAAGTTTGTAGCCATGTATATTTTTCTAATTTTTGTGTCATTGACAATATACTAATAGCATACGACTATTTGTCAATACTAACAATACTTAATGATTTTAAGATCACATTCGCCAAAAGCCATTAACTATTTGTGTCAGAACTAAAACCACGTTTACAATAAGAAAAATGCAAATGCAATACCGCATTTAAAATAGGCGATTAGATCAGTATGCATGGACGTTTAAATGGGTCACTAGGCTAGCCACAGTTATTTGCGAACAGTTGGGATATTAGAAAAATAAATGTTTTCGATAAGTCGGACCGTATTTTCAGTGTCTTTGAAACGTATGCGAGATTATATAAAAAGGTTTTAGGGTTCTCTAAATAGCCGCTAGTCGCGAATTTAGCACCAAAATTTCTACTGATAACATTCTTCTTTTAATCTCGTACTTTTTTTTTGCAATACAGAACCAATCGTAAACATTCGTAAAAGTGTGTCTATCTCTCACGTGACTGGTTTTTTTTATTTATTTTGCTATAAGTTATGAGAGAAGTTCTTGTTAATTTTAAATTTTTTATGAAATGGTCTGGCCATTCTATCGTTACTGTTTTTTTCTGACTACTGTAAATATTCTGTACTACTCTAAAAGTAGCGTAGTAATTAGGTTCGCATTGACTTGACAACCGACATTGCGAACAGCTGATGGGGTATAAGGTTACGAGAAAGTATGTGCATCCAGTATTATAAATAATGTATGTCTTATCTATGGTTTACATTAATTCAATTTATATTATAACGGTTAATTACAAAATCACAGTTTAAACATAAGAATGGTTAAAATTCAAATTCAAATTAAGAATATTATAGACTGAATAATTTAATAATAATTCCATAGCTTTTTGGCTATGCCGTTTATTTGTATCGTGTTTAGTGGTATTGTACCTATGACGTCATAGATAATAACGCCATCGGTCGTTAACACTGAAATGGTCATAATTTAATACTTATCGAAGTTAGTTTTTATAAGAGACTATTTTGACCGCGTTTTGCCTAACAAAGAACCTCAATACGATTTTAAGAAAATTAAACAAAACAAAAACGTAAATATTAAGTAACACCGAGTGACATAAATCCCAAAATCATGAAAACGGCTGCCCCATTTCCGCCAGGTTATTAAACTCATTAACAATGGGGACAAAAAAAACACTTTTCTGTCCCAAAATCTGTTGCTACGAGTTTCATTCCGCAAAGCTTTGATGTAATTGCGAGATTTATCACTCGGTTTATAGCTTATAAACTAATATCCTCGATGACGGAAATTTTAAATTAGACGTCCACATTCATTATTACACTAGCTGTGCCAGCGACTTCGTCCGCGTAGAATAGTTATTTTTGGGAATCCAAATTCGTCTTCTTTCGTTCTTGCAAGTAATCTTAAAAGGTAGACATATAAGTGTCCCGGACATTTTTTTAGATAATTTTAACAGGAATCATTCATTCATATGTTTGGAAATATGTATATGTTACATTCTGAAACCCACAGAGATGAAAAAAATTCCCCCCGTTTTGTTCACATTTTCCGCTGTATGTTCGCTTTTATTAGTCACAGCGCGTCACATGTTATAGCCTTCGTCGATAAATGCTGTAACTAACACTAAAATATTTTTTTAATTGAACGCGTTTATCTTACCAACCCGTAGTTCCTAAGATAAGCGCGTTCAAACAAACAAACTCTTCAGCTTTATAATTTAGTATATACATAGATAGAAAGTTGTTCGCTACGTTTCTAAGAAAGTTTTCGAGTTTTATAATTTAACAGTATATTTTTATCTGTATGTACATAATTATTACAGTTAGGGAAGTAACTTGGGACAGCGGCTTTAGAAAAGTCTCATTTATTAGTGATATTATAACAACAACAATTGTATTTGTATAGTTTTATTTTCTTAGCTTATGAGAAATAAAGTCTTCTATAAACCTAATTCAAGAAAGAAAATCATACAAAATTGGAAAGCTAACAGTAAAAAATATCAGCATACTGTCATTTATAACTTATGATAGCAACGGGTGTGGAATTTATTGATGTACAGAAGTTTAGCGATGTTTATCCACATGAGTTATATTTGGGAAAATGGGTCAAAATTCAAAGCTCGGTTAATGTAAGTTTGACAGTACATAAATTGTCTCTGTACTGTTTATTTCGTTTCTAAAATACTTTGATTGTATGCTGTTGCGACCCCTAAATTCTTACAATATTTGTGCACTTTGGTACATAAATGGTATAGTACAAGTGTATGTATTTGTGACTCATTATAGCGCAACAATAATAAAACATATAAAACTTTTATTCTTAGATAGAGTGTAATGGGCGGCCTCATCGCTTACAAGCAATCTCTTCTAGACAAGCAAACTAATTTAAAAGAAAAAATAGATAAGATTCATTCGCTTTGATTAAAAAAACATATATTTTTAGGTTAATATTCCTCAACAGAGGAAAACAGACAAGCTTCGGTTCACTCGATCCAAGGTGAAATTCCACAGCTGTATTACATCTAAACAAGATGGCTGACAAGAAGGCTGTCGACCAATTTTAGGCATTCCGTTTATGAACGGTGGTGCGTGACAGACGGAATTTCCATATTAGTAACTACAACTTATGTAATATTCAGGTCTTTCAGACGGAGTCTAACGGGTTTCTTAACGTTAATGTTTTATAAGTGTGGGAATCGAACCGCCGACCAATTTGCTTATATGGCATAGGAAGAATTACCCCCTTCCTGTAATAAGGCATACATAATTCTATTTGAAAGTTACTTATATTTACTTCCAAGCATTTGATTGCTGTTTGTACGTACTCAGCAAAATAAATATACAACGATTTTAGTGTCTTGTTGTTTATTATCGGTATCTAGATTCTGCAATGTAAACAAAAATAAGTTGAGCGACCTCCGATTTTTGTTTATTGGAACTCTAGAGGTCGTATTGAAGTTTGTAAAGTTATTTTCACTAAACAAGATATATCTCATTAAATTAAAGATTTTTTACGGTTTTTTATGATAGTGGAGTACAGATAGGCGTTGGGTTCGAGTGATGATAGGTGAAATATCCTAGCCATACATCTCAAAACAGATGCGCTATCGACTTATATTGGTTTGGGATATTCAGACACCCACAGATGAAACACAACGCGATTAAACTGTGGACTTTTCATCTGTAGACGGTGGTTCGTGACCCGGACGAAATATCGGTTTTACATACCATCCATTATAGATCTAGATTTTCAGACGATATCTAACATATGTCAGAAAATTTATAATTTGATTAGAAAAACGTGGACCTGTTGGGGATCCACGACCCATTGACTATTAGCCATATTGTCACCATTACACCAACAAGCCCGCCAAAACGCGAAATATATTTTTAATATCTCTATGACTATAGGCACTGAAAAGCTTTTGAAACGAGGGGTTTTCGTTATTGAAAAACGGTTTTCGACGCTATCACGAGAGAAACATTTCTCGTTTCAAACCGTCAAAAGTGTTCAAATAATGTGTACAGACAGATCAATCTAGTAGCTATCTATGGATGAAATGCGATAGCTTTCACATGTCGTAGATCGATGATCGATGATCTCGTAATCGCTTTTGTTATTGATATCGGATTCAGCGTGTCACATTAAACTTGTTGACAAACGACATTTCGTTTGTTATTACAGAAATATATGTGTGCGTTAATACCTTTCACTTTGATATTTTCTCATTTGGATGCTCTAGAAAGTTAAAAACTTATTATATTTTATATTCAAAATCTATACTAATATAAATTGAACAGTTTGTTTGTTTGTTTGAACCTACTAATCGCAGAAACAACACACACACAGCTAGTAGTAGTATAATCCTATCGTCAGTGGCTAAAGGTTTAGATCTCCGCAAAACATGATACTTAGTTTAGGTCGCACAGGGCTTAACTGTAAGTCTGTAAGGAAGTCGATCAGTGAAACGGACACAGACAATTGTCCGCCCCAAACGGTGGAGAGGTATTTCACAGACATATCACTGTTGTAGCGCGTGTTCGAAATAATTTGTTTGTTAGGATTCACTGTAGTGTCGAGACAAATGATTGTCAAGATTCAAGGCTAAGAGGAAGCCGGTTTTATTTGCTTTTCATTAAATTAATCGAGAGAGTTCAATCGAACGATTTTGTTATCAATTAATCTATTTATAAATATGCAGCAATTGTATCGAAGTTTTCTCAGAGACACAATTAGGAACGCCTTTCTAAATTAAACAATCTCAAACGATTCGATTTCTTCAAACTCAAACCTTTTATTAGTCACATGCACATAAAGGTTATGATAATATAAAAAATAATTACAATAATACTTAGGTTTAATAATTGTATAAAATACGTTATAAGATAAATAAAAAAACAAAGAGTGCTTGTGAAATGGAAGACAACAATCCCCTATGACAACGGCTGCAAAGCATCCGAAACGTCGGATCGTAGTTAAAAATAACTAATATATTTTGTGTTTTAAACAGTTAAAAGCGTGATGCTTATTTAACACGTGATAAACAGAACTTTACTCTTGTCTGCTAATACTAGACATAGTATGAATGAATAATAAGAAGACCAAGGAAGAGGAGACGCCGTCGTTCCTATCTAGCAAATCAAACTCAAAACTAAATCACGAGGTACATTGTATTAAAAAAAAGTAATTTAATTAAGATAGTGTAGAACCTTGCTAAAATATTCAATGCTGGCAAAATACCAAACCGACTTTGAGGGAATTTTTTAGCTTGTTTAACTCTGAAGAGTTTATTAAATAATATTTAATTCTGAGGAGCCGGTATTATTATCAATTTACTTAATAATATGGCGCCTCACTCACTTCCTTTAAGTGGCAGTAAAAATAACCAATTAACATAAATCTCCATACAAATGGCTTCGCGAGCTTATAAATTGTTAGTTTAAACAACACGTGACATGTTATTTAAAACTCAAAATATAGATGCGATCCCACGACTCATCTACGATTGGTGAGGAAAACAATGCCTTTCAAATTGCGATAACCTTGATATTATGCTTCCAATTTACATTAAATAAATACGAAAATAGATTTATTGTTAAATACAATGTATTTTTGTTAGACTATAATCTCCTAAATATATGTAAATAAAACTAGTGCAAACATTAATTGATTCTGATTACACGTTATTTTATTTACCGTGTTATTAAGATCCTAAGAACTATTTTGTTTTATTCTCTATGAAGTAAAATATTGATGAAATGTAAGAAAAAAGCACAAAACAAATGCCTAGCGGTAACTGCTACAGAATTTTTCTGTCTTTTTTATAAGTATATCATTGTATGAAAGATTAGTAAAACTTACCATATATGAATGAATTTGATTTGTTGTTACATCGATATAGATCCTAAAGGTATATAGAGTTTACAGTGTATCTAAATTAAAAAATATAAATACATAATTCTTTATTGATACAACTTGGATTTTTTTTACAGGCAAGTCCTAGCACACATCAAGAATATTCCAGAGCTCATTCTATTGGGGAGTGAAATGTCGTCTGTGCGGCGGCTTCCAATATTTTCTCTCATGGTGAAGCACCCTCGAGGCACCTTTCTTCATCATAACTTTGTGTGTGCAATTCTCAACGACGTATTCGGTATACAAGCTAGAGGTGGACTCAATAATAATCTGTCTTACGGGTCAGATGTTTTGGGAATAGATGAGCAACTTTTGAAGGAATACGAAAAACTACTAGACGTCGAGGCGTAAGTATATTAAAAATAATGAATTGTCGTCACGTTAAATCCTTTCATATTCGAGTTTAATACTTACTGTTTCAATTTCAGACAAAGAGAAATAGCAAGGGTACGAAAGCTAAGTGTGGTTAAGTCACCGGAAGTACCAATTCACAACGAACCCCTAAGGCCAGGATTTTGTAGGATATCCCTTCCCTTCTTCATGTCAGAATGCGAACTGGCCTTCGTTTTAGAAGCCCTCAAAATGGTAGCTACGGAAGGTTGGAAAATTTTACCTCAATACGCAGTGAATGCTGTCACCGGTCAATGGAGACATCATACCTGTTCTGTGTTAAGAGACAAGAAGTCTTTATACTCTCTGAGGTTCCACGATGGCAAAATAACAGCCCATGAGAGGCGTGTTTCAGGTATAAAATAATAACTATATGTGTTTAAAAACGATCTTACAATGTAATCATTTAAAGAATCAATCTTACTTTCAACGTCTCTTTTCCCAGGTCCAGGAATTTTTCCACAAACATACACCGAGTGCTTACAAACAGCAAGGAATTTATTCAGCAGAGCACGAAAACTGGCAATGAAATGTCCTCCTATTGAGCCGGAAGTCAGTTTCAATCCAAAAATCGACTATTTGAGATGGTTCATGTTACCGAAAGAAGCTCACGAACTTTTACTTGGTCGATCGGGAAATGTTAAACACATTGTCCCATTCGATCCTTCGGGGTACACCGGGGCGAGAAAAAGTCTGAATAGTATCTCTAGATGCTCCAATACATCCTCGCCGATATTAGGCTCATCTCCACGACATTTTAGTCTATCGGCTATAGACGACTGTCAAATTTTCAGACTCAAACAAAAGCAAAAGTTTTATTCAAGAGAATCTAGTTTGAAGGAGAGTACAAAAGAGGAAGCTGTTAAAATTTCACACCAGCCAGTACAATTCGCAGTCGGCGAATCCGTTTCACCCTTGCGTCTAGTACCGCAGAGTTCAAGACCTACTCTAGTCAGATCAAGATGCTATAGTTTAGGCTCTGATAGTCCACCAGTGCCGTTCAGCTCTCAGACAAAATTGAACCTTGGACTTAAAGAAACGAGTCCTAACGTCGCAGATAAATCGAATAGTTTTTGTAACTGCGGTAGTCAAACCGATTTGCAGTCATTGGAAGATACTATGATCTCAACAAACAAAAGTTTTCCTTATAGTACACAGAGTAGTACTTCGATATCAGATTGTAGTCAAATTGGTCGCACTTCACCCACTGTGTCAATAACTTCGCAAACATCTGAAGATCTGCATACATATGTTAAGGAAATGACGAGAGAAATAGCTACAGAGATCAAATCTGAAATACGCGAAGTGATCTCAAAAGTGGATGATATCTTGGAGAACTCTGATATGTTAGATCAAACAAATACGAGTATAACTTCGATTTCTAGTCAGAGCGATAAGAATTCTGTATCAGTAGTAGACGTAGCGGAGTATTTAATGGGTATGTCTAAGGAAATGGCTTCAGAGGTGAAACATGAAATTCGCGAAATGGTTAACCAAGTCGACGAAATGATATCACCAGATTACACGGGCTCATGTTTAAGAAAGAACTCTCCGCCTAAAGTACGACAGAGAATCGGTTCCGGGCCAGAGTTGGGATTAGATCTACAAAAAATTAATAATAAACAGTTTTTGAGAAAGTGTCCTACGAGCCCAGTGTTTTCTTCACAATACGATGAAGACGAGAAGTTCTGCAAGCGTTCACCCAGTACTCCCACTAAGTCAGCACAGTGCACTCCATCGCATGAAGCTTCAGGCCCGAATAGTATTTCTTTCAATTCAAGTGAAACTTCAACTCCAGATACTATTATTCAAGTGGTCACGACATCTCAGAATTCCCCAAATCTTCCAAAGTCATTAAGTTCAAACAAATTATCCGATGACGAAGCTACCTGTATGGATGCTGTTTGTAGACATTGTTGTATAAAGAAAAACTGGTGCCAAAATCCATCAGCCAGCTCGCAAGATAGTGGTATCAATATGACCTACACTGATTCAGATTCTTACTTAGACTTCGGTAAGTACAAATAAACTTTATCTGTAGTTTATGGGGTTGCCATTAAGTTAACATTTTAAACTATTATAACGCGAAATTTATTTTATATATAACTTTATTATTAACAAACACCACAGGAATAGTTTACATATATTAGCTTCTGTTAAACTACCCTCCATAACCACGGCTGCTGCAAAGTATCCTAACGTCAGGTCGAAGTTGAAAATAAGTTACCTAATATGTTTTGCGTTTAAAACCGTTTAAAGTAATTTTTAACGGTTATTTTTACATTTTTCTACATAAAATATGTATCTAACTAAACACCATGTATAAAACTACCAACATTAAAAATTCTATACGACAAACATTTTATGTAACAACGCGACATAAATTGATTCTATCCGGATATTATCTATGCGTTACTAGTTATTTTCAGGAGTGTCGAGATTTTTATTGAAGTTTTCAATGAGAAATAATTGCAATAGATTTTGTACTTTGCTAGGTTTCAAGTCCAATACGGACACGTAAGATAGATTTAATCATGATACAAGAATACTTAGACAGCGACTTGCTCGTTAGTATTATGTTCAAATTCAAATTCAAAACGTTTATTGCCATAAAATATTTTTACAAACTTATAACTGAACATAAAAAAAATATTTTTTTTTTTTTAATTTTTTAGGGGGTGGGAATCGGTCCCCTTCTTTTTTTGTTTTTGTTTTTTTTTTTCCCCCGGGGGTGTTTTTTTTTTTTGGGCGGGGTTTTTTTTTTGGATGTTAACAATGTATGGCTAATAACGGGACGTGATCTCGATTCCTACAAAGTCCAACATTTTTCTTATCTATTTTTAATTTGTCTTGAATATGTTGAATTTCGTCCGGTGATCAGGATATTGAATGAGTGATAGAAATACCGAAATTGCGTCCGGGTCCATGCATGCAATCCTCCCGAAACGGTTCCTTCACAACTTTTTCGCCTGTGGATCGTGGCATCGAAGTTGTGAAGCTTAATCGCCTAGGTTTCTAGGTCTGTGGATTTCCAAATATACAAAGCCAAAATAGATCGACAGAGCATTATGCTTAGGTGTTATATGACAGGGGCTAGCTTTCACCTACCATCGAGTGAACCATGCTTGTCTGTCTTTCTCTATATTAAAAATAGTGTCTAAACTAAGTGATCTAAAATAATTTCAATCAAGAAGATATTTTCAGTAAAATGGCGTACTTCATCAGACCCTTCCACGAACAAACTAAAGAAACTTCAAGGACGTCTTCGCACATGTCACAAACACGAGAAGAATGAGGTTCCCGATATAATTGAAGGAGTCCCTGTCTGTTCGGGGCCAATTAAAACTTACAGCGAAACGGAGTCTGGCAGAGTCGTTTTCCAAATACCCGACGACGACCGAAGGAACCGGTAAGTTTATAATATTTTATAAGGAAACCTGCATGTAGTGGCACTAAAACATAAACGTGTATCCTTTGTCAACACGCATTTTGTCAGTACATATTCCCATAGGCATTGATAATAATTATGTATCATAAATTAAACTTTGGAATTTAACCTAAAACAGTATTTGCAGGACAACGTCATCTCAAGACTCTAAGCGTTCCAGCAGGTCTTCGAATGCATCATCCAGTTGCTCTGAACGAAGTTCCAGGTCTAGTGGGTATGGAACTGATGTCCAGCGTTCTTCCCACGAGGAGAACTATTATGACAGAAGGTAATATAAAAAAAAACTTAAGTGCCCGTTTTTCTGGTTTGTGTATACAAAAGAATTGCGATTGATCAGGAACGTTGTTTACGAGATTCAGAACCTGGGTCAGGTGAAGTAGGAATTATCACTACCCCTGTACCTTGGAGAGTACTTTAAGTTAAGTAAGGGCATTTAATTTACTCTAAAGCGAACCTAACTCCTAAAAACCCCTTATATGCGAGGGAAGACCTGTGCCAGAAATAGAAGTCGTAATCAAACATCTTAATAATGATCATAATATGTCTTTTTTTAAAAAATATATAAAATTACAATTCAATCAAATATGTATTATTAATTTACAGTGAATCAGACTGTCGCTTTAAAGCCGAATGCTGTGGTGAAGAAACGGAACAAGATGACAGCAGCGCTTGTAGTGATGCTTCTCTCACTGACTTCACCTTTGATGATGAGGGCAAGTGGCATTGTCCACCTAAAGCTGTTTGGAAAGCAACTGTTGAGGTGAATATAAAAGACCTTGTAGAATTCTAATTTATGTAAATTGAAAAAAAAATCACTCAGACCAATTCCAAAGAAATTTTAACAGTTGAAATATATTAATGTTGTGGTCTACTGAAATATTCCCAAAAACATATGATAACGTGATAACCTAACCAATGGAGCTACCGAGTTCTAGTGGTTAATGACCCGATGCAGGTTCAATCCCACTCGAGTCTTAATTTTTTTCATGAAAAATATTTAAGATTTCATTTCATATCTTTACTTTCAGGCTATCCATGAATTCAGTATGGTTCGTCCAGGAGACAAAGTACTCGTGTGTTTATCTGGACGAAGAGACTCCATCGCCTTACTCCATACCATGCACCAGTACCAATTCTATGCTAGATCGAAGGGAATACATTTCTCTATTGGTACATATTGTCACTCTTTTTTATTACACATCATATTTTTGGTATACATATGTAATGTAATTTTAATATTGTCCATTAGGAGCCTTATTTGTCCACGAGCCGCAGTCAGACGTCGACCCTCTACATTTGATGGCTTATTGTAGGACTTTGGGCGTCAAGTTTATTTATCAAGATAAGATTGAACAGGAAGAAGACGAACGTAAGTATATATTGTTGTAGCTGATATTTTAATCTAATATAAAAAATTCTCGTGTCGCAGTTTTCGTTGCCATACTCCTCCGAAACGGCTCGACCGATTTCGATGAAATTTTTTGTGCTTATCTGGTATCTATGAGAATCGGCCAACATCTATTTTTCATCCCCCTAAATGTAAGGGGTAGTCCAGCCCTATATTTTTTTTTTTAGACAAAAATTTTTATTTCAAATTTTTTATGATACAACATACAAAAATACATACAATTTCACCCTTCTACGATCAACCCTTATTTTTTAATAGCCATTTTAGTAAATTATTTTTATGGAAAACACCGTTTGCCGGGTCAGCTAGTTATTTATATATTTTAACATACATTTATATAACAAAGTATTTTAGCTGTTAAATCCTTTGTAACCTTTATAAAGCATTACGGATTCTAATTGCTTAGAACAGTTTTGTAAATTGATTTTAGTTTTTTTGTTATTTGAATTAATTTAATACCCTATTTCTACCATGACAAACAATTAAATCTACAGGTAGGAGCAGTAGTACAAAGATGCCAGAAATCCATCGCTGGTCGTCCCAGGCGGTGCGCCGGCGCATGTACACAGCAGCTGCTGCGCATGGCTACGGGGTTGCTGCTATCGCTCAAAACTTAGACCACGCTGCAAAAGCATTCCTTGCAAGCGCCTTTTACGGGGGTGCTTTAAAATCTCTTAAGGCACATTATAAAGTAAGGTAAGCGAGGTTGAAGAAACTGTATTTGTTTCTATTAAAATACGTTTTTTTTAATTAAGTTTTTAGCATCGCATTCTTTAAAATCCTTCTTCATAACCTATATATAAAATAAAACATTTTAACTGAATTTATTTTCGATTCTTAAATTATATAGTGCCTTTATATCCTTATACTATACATGTAAATAACAATAAAGTTTTCAAACAATTTTTACTGTTTAAAATGCCAAAAAGTCTTTACGTTTAACTTCGATCATTAGCATTTACTAGCTGTAACTGCGGCTTCGCCCGCGTGGAATAGTTATTTTGGGCATCATATACATTTCCCTCCGTCTTTTCGCTCCCCTTTGTCACAGCCTAATGTTAAAAAAAAGCCTCCCTCGATTAATGATCCAGCCAACACAAAGAGATTTTTTTTATTTCGCACTAGTATTTTCCGAGATCAGCGCGTTTAAACAAACAAACTCTAAAGCTTCACATATTAATATAGATTAAATTAGAAAAAATATTCTTATCGTTAACAGAGAATTGTATTGTTATTTTCAGAGATCAAGAAATGCGGGTAATTAGGCCGTTCATCTATGTGCGTGCGCATTGGTTAGAAGCATTCTGTTGCACGAGAGCCCTACCAGACTTCACGAGGTTGTCTAAGTGTGCTCATACACCAACTGGAGATATTGGACCTAAAAGGTAAATAAAAAAGTATTAATATAAGATATAATTACAGAAGGATAAAAAAAAAAAGAACCAATAAAAACTCTCGAAATTAAAATCTCTTTAGATTGAAAAAAATATTATTACCCTGGCAGGAGGTGAACCCGCATCCTCAGCGTTAATTGCTCTAACGGGTATGCTGGTTCGAGTCCCGTCTATGTCATAAAATTTCAAACTAAATAACATGTAAAAGTTTTCAGTTTAAAATAATAGTTTCTTTCACTTCATGATAATCTAAAAAAACAACGTACACATTTTGTTTATATAAATACCGCGAATTTTGACCTCACTCAACGCTCTCCTCAAGTTAAGACCCAAATGTGACCTCTTCGCAGATGATTGGTCATCAATACTAAAAGAATTGTCTGCCTTTGAAATTATCTCCTAGTGTAATTTGTAACCTATTTTTAATTGTTATTGTATAAATATGTGTGTCTCCAATTGATGTAACTGGCTACTGTCGTTTTAATTACTGTAAATAAATAAATAAAAATAAATCAATAAGAAAAGGCTTCTTTTGTCTAACGAATATACTCTTATCTAATTACAGTAAAACTCTGGACCGCTCAATCTCCGAGCCCTGTGGAAGTGCGCACCGGGTGGATTTAGAGCAGGAAATCGACCCAGAACAAGAAGACAACGAAACTGACCCTTTGGTCATTGCTCAGTGCATTCTTGACGACCAAGAGAGAACACACCCATTCGTCTTTTCCAGCTTAAAAAGCGCTTTGCAGCCGCTTCTTAGTGCAAGGTAATAATAAAGAATATTCACTAATAAGATCATATATTAGGGGGTCGTTGGTCTAAGGCAGCAAGAGTGACTTATTATCAATGGGTCGTTAGTTAGTCGGTCCCCACTAATTCCAATATGTTTCTAAGTAATTAATAACTTTTTCTGAAACATGTTTGAGTGAAGTGCATACTTGTATGTTCTTGTTGTCTGCCCTCACCTATATTAAAAAATATATCTATATATGTGTTCCCAGGATTATCGAAAAGGACCAGAAAGAACATAGACACAGAAAGAAGTCTGTGATACAGATGAAAGATGGCGCTCCCGTATACGACTCTGAGGAAGGAACTGAAGAAGAATCGGTGCCATAGACAAACGTCAAACATTTCCCGCCAAATATTCAACAATGGCTTCGCCGTTGAGTCTATACTTTTTCAACGATTGCGTTGTGATGCAAGAACATAACAATATTGTTATTATAAAAGAATATCTATGACTAATAATATTCGTAGTATTTTAGTCGGTTATGACTTATAAAGTTTATTTCACGTTTCAATATTGCCATGTTGTTATTTCTACCATTGTGGTAGTGATGGTAGTAGGTATTTGTACGTATTTACGAAGTGCATTTGTCAAGTCTGGTATAATATTTGAGTGATCATGTTATATTTTATATGAAGTATAAAACATAGGATATAAGCTTAATTTTATGTCCAATTAAAAATTATATTTGTTAAATGTGATGAAAAAAATATAACTCTATGGGCACTTGCCGTATGTTAAAGAACTTATATTTTGATAAAATAGTGTATTAGAAGTGCATATTATATTATAACAGATTCAAAAGTCCGTTTTTAATGTGCTAATCAATTTATGTAGTGGAGTAGGTTTTAAGTAAAAGTCTTAGTTTTAGAATTCTCAATTTATCTTCTAGAATATTCAAGCTATTTACGGTAGATATATTTTAAAATTGTATCTAGTATCTTCATTCGGATTCCATTTTGAATTACCTGTCTTTATTTTTTAAATTTATAAATGGAATAAGTTTGGCGATGCAGACTGAATTCTTTTAATGTTATTATCTGCTTAATCAAACTGTGACTAATGTTTTTATTAACTAAGTAGATTTTTTTCATAATTTGCATTGTTCATGTTAGTTATTGGTATATTTTTGTATTAAAAATAATGAATTCCTATATTGTACCTAGTATAAGAGTTACAGTCCCATTTGTTGCTTCCAACGTATTGTATTCATGGATAATATACAAATTGTCGTACAATAAATGGATCTTTTGATTGTCTTGTTTTTTTTCTGATACCACGAAGGCCAGTCTTTTCTGTGGTGTTTCCAATGATCGGTGCGTCATGCTATCTCGTCCTTATACCTACATGACAATTAATAAGAAAGGTGAACTTATAGCAAATAAAACAACGATTATCCTTTTACTTTATTACATCTACAATCATACACTCACATGTGTGTGCGTGCCGCATTCATATAGCTTATATTAATGAGTATTAGAAGTACTTTGTTACAAGAATACATTTAGAATTAAACACTGAATGTGATAAAATTCACTAACACTTATATCTAATAGCCAATAAGCAAAAAACTATATTAATATAAAGCTAATAACTCATAAATTTACTTACATCTATAAAATATATAGTTTCATTTCATGACGACACAATATTGTTTGCAATAGAATTTTAAGATATCAACTACATAATGCAATAAGTATATCTATTAAATACTTTTTAATTTAATACTACACGAGTAAATACTATTTTAAATATAGCCTTTTACGAGAATCATTTTTGCTGGTGAAAATTACTTGCCCCCTTGGCAGCATGGTTTATTACCTGAAAAACATTTATTTTCACTAGGTAAAGCAATTGTGCAAAAAGTAGTATTTAAAAACATCAATTAATTCATTGCTAACCGATACAAAAATTGAATGTTTCCTCGTCTCCGGTCTCTGTACGGGATTTAACAACAAAAACATACTTATTTTAATTATTTTAAGCTATTCAGTAGAGTAATATTTATTTGTTTTAATTAGCAAAAAAGATTCTCACCATCACCGCAAGCGCAGGTCGGCCCGCAGGTGCAGGCTGCCCCGCAAGCGGCCTTCCCACCGCTACATGTGCCTGAAATTATAAATATTATGACTACTAATCTAATTGAATACTTGCAAAAAAATAGATAAACCAGACTCAATTATATGTCTGCCCTACAGGAAAACAGGGGAAACGGAATTTTAGTTTATGAAATTGAATTTAATGTCTAAAAATATTACGGCTTGAGAAATCATCTAGTTATAATACTTTTTATTTAATGTTCTGTCCATTGATAAAATAAATGTTAAACATAAATATCCGTTATTTCTAGTAATTTTTTACGTATTAGTGTTTATTCAAAAATTATGTATTACTATTCTATTTGTTTGTAGTTTACCTACGCGACTTGTACCTACACATTTAAATAAAACACTTCAAACGGTTTAGAACCTGAAATGTATTAGTTACATTTATTTACAATTTGTTTTTACTAATAAATTGTAAATAAGTTTTACTAATACATTTGCGTTTTAAAAAGTCTCTTTTTAAAAAAGTCAATCTGTGTGTCCATGATAAGGGCCTATATACATAAAGTAAATAAAAAATCCTTACTAATAATATAAATGCAAAAGTAACTCTGTCTGTTTGTCTGTCTGTTACTCTTTCACGCCAAAACTACTGAACGGATTTGAATTAAAATTGGTACACAGTTGGTCGTGATACTAAGAAAGGACATAGGCTACTTTTTATCGCCAAAAGGGGGTGGTTGTAAGGGGTTAAAAGGGGGGGTGAAAGTTTGTATGGAAATTCGTGGTTTTTGAAGCTAGAACAATGAAACTTTCTTCTTTGGCTTTTTAGGAATAGGATTGATGTGGGGTGCGAGTGTTGCGGCAAAGTAGCACTTACAACATAGATTGGCTGTGATAAATGCGCAATTACATAAAATAATATACAGCCTAAATATTTAAAAATTCTACGCCAAGTCACTATTCCACGCGAACGAAGTTGCAGGCACAGCTAGTAATCTATAATTTAAATTAACAATATTTACATTTCTTCAACTATACCTATGTACATGCCGTATGCGAATGAGAAAGGCACTATAAGTTCGAATACCTAGATGAGATCTAACGGAAACCAACACAATAGTACAATAGTCTTACATTTTTTATTAATGTTTGCCCGATACTAAGACCGAAGTAGGTACATTTATAATACATTTTTTGAATTATACTTAGAGCTTTCTTCACGTTTCAATTCGTTCCAAGTGTTTTATTTAATCTTAACCAAGATCGTTAGGGAGTTTTATTGATGTAAATTGTTATCTGAATAATCAATTTAAACTAATTAATATTTAATTTAAATGTAATTTAAACAAACACTTTTTTGTTCATAAATTTAAAATGGGCAATTGTCTGAATGCAATTTATTTACTGCGCTATAGTGAAAAGTTGGTAATAGAACCAATAGTTTCAAACGCGTTCAATCAATTTATGCGAATGTATCACTTAAGTGAATTGAATTGAATGGAATAAGTAATAAAAATATTAAAAATAGAACTCACTTTTACAGGAATCGCAGGGAGCCGGCATCGCGTGATAGCTGAAGCTAGGCTAGGATCGTTCTAGACCGCAGAGAGAGTGCGCGCGCATCGGACATCGGGGGCCGGGTCAATAACTGAGCTACGTGGGGGAATCAGACTTCACCGCAACTGATGTAGACCGAGAGATACTGTAGCGGCAGGTCTTCTGCCCAAGCGCAACTATCTCTACTATACATTAAGTAATAAAACGCTTTAACAGTTTAAAACGCGAAACATATTAGTTAAACTTATTTGAAAATTATTTTAACTACCTTTCGGATGCTTTGTAGCACTGAAAAAGCACTAAAAAAGCATCCGAAACGTCGCGCCGTAGTTAAAAAAAAACAAAATAAACTAGAAGAATTGTTCAAATCAAGTCAACATTAGTTCATAACAACTTAGTTCAAAACGATTCATTCGAAAATTAATTAATTAAATTAAATGTAATATTCTATTTAATTTCATTTTCATTAAAATTAATAATTGTCTGTACTTTACATAATATGTTAACGACTTTAAAGTACCATTGAGCCATAAATACTCTTAAACTCGTTTAACGGTTTAAAACACGAAGTGTACATTTTATTTAAGCATCTGAAACGTCTGGCCGTAGTTAAAATAGATTGCCAACTAGTGAATATATTTCCCGTCTTAAACCGTTTTTTTAATACATTATTAATTTCGACGTCGAAATGTCTTGATCAAATAAATCGTCAGCTCTTAGTTCAAACAAGATGGGTAAACAACTTATAGCCGCGGGCTACAATAAAATGATTGGTTCTAAACAAAAACACGCCCGACCGGTTCCACTCCTGACTTGCCTAATCTCTAATACGTACACTGAAATGTAATTGCGATCAAAAAACGGCAATATGATAAATTATTTTTAGGTGTGCCTTAATATAAACAATTCGAAACTATTCACCAGGTTTCAAACCTAAACCCTTCTAAGTTTCGAGTACTTTTATGCTTAACCGTTGTGACATAACTGTTGAATATGTAATTGATTAGAATAAAACCTTTTAACGACCTTTTACCACGTGAAATATATTTTAACAATGTACCTAGTTAACAATTTATTTTTGCTCGTCCCTTCGTAACCACACTGAAAATCATTCGAAACGGCCATAGTTCAAATAAATTATAAGCCAGTTAATATATTTCGCGTTTTTAACCTTAGAAGTGTTTTATTGACATGTGTACTAGTTTTAAACTCAACGCATTAAGCTTAGATCTATGCTAACCAAAAATCATGTACGGACCCCTACTCGTTTGCATTCGTAAAAAAGTTACACTAAACATTATTTATCCGCCATCATGGCAATTACCTTTTTTATTTGAAATGAATCACTCGAGATCGCGAGCAAAGACCTCCTTAGATACTTAGAAATGACCTTGGATTTCACATCAAACACTGTAAGAATTGCTTTTGGTAAGCACACTTTTTTAATAGTTAAACTTTTTATATTATTATTTCATTACATATGTATATATACAAACTACCTGGTAAGTATAGTGTTCAATATACTCAACATACAACGATCGAGAATTTGAATCTTTAATTGACATTCGTCTATCATAGTTCCTTGTTAGCCCGAAGCGTTAAGTTTTTACTAGACTTCAAAATAGTATATTCCAGTATACAATAGAATATTGAACCCCTGACAATAGCAATATTAGGAAAAGTATTCGGCTGGATTTTTCTCCAAAAATTGTACAGACGTGATTGTTTCGCGCTCCTTGTTTTGTTCTAACTACTCGTTATTATTATGTACCAATTACTATATTATAGTATTATTTATTTATTTATTTTATTTATTTATTTATTATAAAGAAATTAAAAGCATAGCCACTTACATTAATTGGATAGAAGTACACAATAAATTACACTTAACAATAGAGTATGCATCAATTAATTAGGACAAAATTTAAAAATAGAAATTCTCTCAGTATTGATGACCATTGATTGCGAAAAGATCACATTTGGGTCTTAACTTGAGGAGAGCTTGAGTGAGGTTAAAATTGTGGTATGGCGAAAACCGCGAGAGAGGTCGACCTCTCGGGACGTCAAAGAGATCGTGTCTTCTACCGGCCATAGTTGTTCGGTACAAACAGTCACAAAGGCTTCCCTCAAATAATATCATCGATTTGGTTTCGAAAAACTTACAAGCTACAACTAATTGCCCACGAGATCTGGACTTAAAGAGAATTAAAGCCAACTTCCTAATAAAAACAAGGTAGGATACAAGTAGGGGTAAAAACCGTATTGGTGTTTGTAAAGAAACGCAGAAAGGCTTTTTGGATTTTCTCAAGCATGAGTATATATTTTTCCTCTGAGGGTTCCACCAATTATGTACCAATGACTACTTATATGATTATAACAGAAAAAAAATATGAATATATACGTAAGCAATCGATTTTAATTTTTCATTTTACCAATTATTTCTCTATGACAAAATATATTATTTAGGTATTCGTTATTCGGCCGAATAATATGTAGATATTCGGTATTCGGCCGAATATAATAAAAGCAGCCGAATGGCCAATCCGATATACCGAATATTCGTTGCAAGTCTAGTTTTTACCCGGTTGTTTAATTTAGTGGCGGTAGTCATAAACATTTCAACATGTATTGAAACTGCAATAATATCAATAGGTTGAAATATGTATATTTGTTGCGATCATATTTGATGTTTCCATAAATTATTTAAATGTATTGGATGGTTACATGTTGAAAAAAGCCAGACTGAATTTCTTGGTTGTTCTCGGTAATGTTGCCCTTTTGAACACTCTGTAGAATCATGATGCACGGACAGACAAACATATTATTTAATATTTTTTTTTTACTAAACTAAATAATTTTACAGGGAATTAAGTGTATTTTATTTTATTTCATATTGTTGAACTAAGAAGGTGCTCTATACCGCAACTAAATCTTCAAACGTAATTGTTACCTAATCTGTGTACAATTATTTTTCAGGACATTTCATAATTAAATTTTATATGTAACAAAGTAAAATGATTTGAGGTATTTAAAATTTGGCTTGTTGGTGTAATGGTAGTAATGTGTATAATCATTGGATCGTGGGTTCGACCCCGCTAGGTCCGAAATGTACAATTTAACATTTTTCTGAAACATTATCTGGATAATTAAATGGGTGGTAGTAATATGAAATTCTGTCCGGGTTACGAACCAGGGTCCTCAGATGACAAAGCCGCTACGTTTAATTGCGTTTCGATTTCAGTCAATGGATTTCTACATATTAAAAGCCAAGGTCATCAGACCGTTTTGTTTAGATGCCATTCGTCTGGGCTATATCATCTACCATCATGTGAACTCTATCATAAAAAAATAAACAATCTTTCTAATTGCACTCAACGTTTATTTTAAAATATAATTCAATAAATTATTAACATTAATTAATAAATAATATGTAACAATAGATGTGTCTCATGCCGGCCAGACGTAGCTTTTACAATTTCTTCCATTGCATATTTATTCAGTCTTCAAATGGCTTCTAGATTTCACCATCAGTCGCCGCAGAACAGAATAGCAGAGCCAGAATATCACGTACAGTTTGGAGTCAGTACTGACTATCATATATGTTGCCAGTACCGCTATAACTATGCCCAAAGCGTTAAATATAAGACGCATTCTCTTGGATGGGTCTTTCTTTTTGTATGGATATGATGTTGGTTGGGTAGAATCTCCTCTAGGTTCTTCAACTTCTGGAAGAAAGCCGATCAAAATAATGGTATAAAAATACTTCAATGACAGTCTTAAAACTTCCTAGTTTCCTAGGTCCTAGAGACACAAATATTTATTTCATAGCATGTTATTAAAGTTTATGTATTTTCTATTACTACTTCAAACGCTGTGCAATTAATAATTTAACAATATAATTTACCTGGAATGGTTTGACACACTCGGTTCATTTTGGCGCTGTGATCGCTACCTGAGTATTGAATGTGAAAATTAAAATTATTTTTAGATTTAAATATTAGTCGAAGAGAAGAGACGAAGGTTGGTTCACAAAAACATAGGAAATGCGAGAAGCGAGGGCGAAAGATTTCCGGATCAATCGGAGTTTATTGGTGCGAATAGCATTGTTTGGTAAATTCTAAAACTTAAAATTTCAAAGTCATCCTTCTTATGATACAGGTGGACAAATAAAGCGTTATTCATATATAGAGTAAAATATTTCATCTCTACACAAGTAAACTCTATGCTTGTTTGTAATCCTTTATATTAAAAAAAGGTTATGTTAATTAAAAATCGATTATACATTTTCAAAAAATACAACTCGGACTTGAGCTGGCTACCACAGCGTTCCAGCTTTTGCTCTCCAATTGAGCTACTGAGTCCTACACTTTATCGATTTTTTAACCTCTCGCGCATAAAAATCTCAATTTTTAATGTATTTTTATTTTTTATAGTGCCATCATGTGCAATAAAATGAGAAACGTTCAAATATATAATAATGAAAGGTGAAATACTCCAGCCATATAACATCTAAACAAGTTGATGTATTTCGGCTTTGGATATTCGGAAATTCCCAGACTATAACAGAAACGCGATTAAACTTCACGTCTTCCAACCTGTGAACGGTGGTTCGTGACCCGGACGGAATTTCGATATTCCCACCCACCCATTTAATACGTCATATGTCAGAAAATTTATAAATTAAACATGATAGACCCGGAGGTTCGTACCCGTTGGTTATTAGCCCTCTTTCCTCCCCCCATAGTTTATTTATAAATGTTAAAAGAACGAATTAAAGTTGAACATCTACTGTATGAATTAAATAGAGGAATTTAAACCATCAATTAATATATCATGGGAAATTTCTTTTACGATTAAATTTGTTCTATATTGTTCTTTAACGGGCTATGGAAAATTAGAAAACCAATACGTAACAATGGTGTAATCTACATATAATAAAACATTTGATATGAACTCTTTTGGCATAGTGAGTATTCTTAGTGCTCCCAAATTTTCTAATAAAACACTTTAACTTTTTAAAACGCGAAGTATATTGAATAACCTTAATTGAAATTTATTTTACCTACGGCCCGACATGCCATCAACTATGGTCATGGGGGGACTAAAGATGGAGAGTGTCTCTTATGTCGAATTCAAATCTGCTAGCTAGCGCCATCTGTTTCGCCGTAGTTCAATTCCAACTATGACAGTTCTACCTTGAGAATGTTAGTAAGTGATGGTACTGTCCTAGTAGTAAGGAGTAAGTATGTAAGTTAAATACGATTCTTAAAAAAAAATTTTGAGATACTTGTGATTCAATAAATCAATAAAACATTTGAACCGACAACTGCATTCGGTTTTGTAGCCTTGCTCTCAATAACGCGAAGTTTTTGTAGATTCAAATCCGTATAAATTACAGTGGAAACATCCGAGATGCATAGTTTAAGATCAAACACAATAGGCATCATGCCATCTCCTTGTGAACCTTGCAAAGGTAAGTTCTTAAGTCATGGTGTCTGACAATTATAGTACTCTTTAATTTAAATAAAACACTTTAACGGTTTAAAACGCGATATATTAGTTAAACTTATTTGAAAATGATTTTAATCTCCCCGTGACCACGGCTGCTGCAAAGCATCCGAAACGTTGGGCGGAAGTTAAAAAACATTTTCAAATAAGTTTAACTAATATATCGCGTTTTAAACCGTTAAAGTATTTTATTTAAATGTGTACTACTCGCGTAAACTACAGACAGTACTCTTTAATTTTCTAGAAATGTGCAAATTTTTGAGCCCTAACTAGTCTATAAACATTCTGACCATAGTTTTAGAACAAAGGCTCTAAATCAAATGTGTCTAGAATTTTCTGTTTGGTCTAAAGGGGATCGAACTCCACGTCCGTTGCTTATCGTACTACCACTCCGAAAAGATTAGAATCAATAGAGATAAAAGGAGAATATAAGAACGGAAGATTCGTTATTGTCAATATCATTGGGGCTTGGATTGTACTCGTAATATCAAAAATCTTCATTAATTTAATTAAAGTAGTAAACATTTGTTTAGTTAACTATTGTAAATTGTAGATTCCTGCCAAGAAGGTGCTTGCAAAGACAACTGCTCTTGTAAGGAAAAAGGCTGTACCGACTGCAGTAGTAAAGGTAGACAATTTTTATAATTTCCAAGGTTCTAGTTGATTATTCAGTAATAGAAGAAAGATAACGCCCTTATCAAAAATGAATTTATGAGATATAGTAGTTTTAAAAAGTATAATAGTTTTCACATGTTATTTATGTATTTTATGCACATGATGGCACTATATAATTAAAAAATAAAAAATTAATGATTAATGAATGAAATGACATTTTTTTTTCAATTTATTTTCGATTTTTAATTTATAGTAGTTTTAGTAGTAAATATATAGTTCTGGCTTTGGTAGAAGTAAAAGTTGATAGATTTTTGTATATGTGTACTTTTCTTTTATTATATTTAATATCTGTTAATAAAAAAAATAAATAAAACGATTTTTAACGGTTTAAAATGTGACTTATATTTACTTATCTGACTTGCGTAACTATTAAAATTGTTTTAGTATCTTAATTAAATTATGTCTCTGTTAAAGGCGGGTGCTGTTAATCAAGATGGATAGAAGCGACCGACGTCAGAACGGTTCTCGTGTCACAAAAATACTTGAAGCCTTTTTCCCTATTTCTTTTTCTGTTGTCTTCTTAATAACTATCGTTCTGTTCTACTGTCTCATATAATAAAGATGTTCTGTTGATGTTCGAATTTTTATTACTTTACGTTTACTATATCTTTTGTCATTCATTTAAGAATGACAGCCGCCGCAGTTTTTTGGTTGAATACCTATGCCTTGCTATGGATTCGAACCCTGATCAAGAATTTTTTTTTTGGTCGAGCAGGGCACAGAACTTTTATCAACTTACCTGTAAATTAAAATCGTTCAGCGAAATGAAATCTCAAATGTGTTTTATTCATGTCCAAGAGGCCAAAATGGGATAGCATTTATATTATTTACTTCACTGATTTATTCATAATCTGTACTAACTAAATTAATTATGTGAGTAGGACTCGTAGAACTAAGTGAATTAATTGCCTAAGAAGCTAAAAAACTATTTTTTACAACTAAATTAACCTCTGCTTTAGCTAGATGAAAAATTAAGTTTTCCTCGTTCGTGCAAATCAAATGGAGGATATCAGTTTCAATGAAAATTTTAAATATATAGCTAACTAGCTGTGTCAGAGACTTCGTCCGCGTAGAGTAAAATAACTACTCTACGCGGACGAAGTCGCGAAGGGCATCCAAATTTAAATACTGTCTATAGTTTACGCGATTAGTACACATTTAAATAAAACACTTTAACGGTTTAAAACGCGATATATTAGTTAAACTTATTTGGAAATGATTTTTAACTTCGGCCCAACGTTTCGGATGTCTCCCCGTGACCACGGCTGCTGCAAAGCATTCTAAACGTCGGGTCGAAGTTAAAAATCATTTCCAAATAAGTTTAACTAATATATCGCGTTTTAAACCGTTAAAGTGTTTTATTTAAAGGCATCCAAATTTGTTTTTGCAAACCACTTTTTAAATTTCTCACGACTTAGGTGTCGTCCCGTCGCTCGCTACCCATCGTTCGGGTCTCATCGTACTTGCAAGTTAATCTTAAAAAATAGACGTATAGTGTTGCGGACAGTTTTTAGATCATATAAGAGGAATCATTCTTTTATACATATTTTTTTAGGCGTCCTGAATCGTTTTCGCAGCGTACGCATCTGAAACCTACAGAGTTGAAAAGTTTCCCCCGTTTTGTTCACATTTCGAATTTCATTATAATGTTTTATAGCCTTCGTCGATAGATGCTCTAACCGACACAATAAGAATTTTAAAATTCGAATCCATAGTTCCTGAGATTACAGCGTTCAAACAAACAAACAGCTTTGTATATTAGCATAGATTCAGTAGATATTCTATTTAAATTTAAAATTCTCCACAGTGTCTATTTAATAATAATAATAATAGCTTATTTGTCAGACCATAAATCCATTCATTAATTTAAAATAATTAATAATTAATTAAATCTAATGTGTTAGTTGGGTTAGTAACAATTTTCAAATTACAATGTATATTAGAATGTGTTAGTCACTAAAATTAAGTTAGTTAATATGTTGGTGAATTTGATTTTTTAAATAAACGAAATAGTTTGCTATATGTACTTGTGTAAACTATATGATATGAATGAACTATAAAGTGGATTTGGAATTCTTCTAGAACTGTATGTTGAATGGGTTCTCGGAAATTTAAAAAAAACCGTCGGTATCACGAATCACAGCGCACAGATGAAAAATCATTGAAGTTAAATCGCGTTTCGGTTACAGTCCGTGTATTGTCGAATATCCAGATATTTACACGGATTAATAATTATATTTAAATGATAAAAATGCTTGGTGTGTGGAGGAACCCGCTCTTACAAGGAAAAACATGTAGTGCACTAAAAGTAAATCAAGAATGTAAAATGAAACTTGGCGATAAAAGGAGTGACGGCGAGTTTATTGCCAGTTTTTCTCGTCCGTTCTACGCCCTCAATTTGAAAACTGGTAGTAAATGTAAAGTTAGATTCTTTAATTATTTTGTGACGTTCATAGTTACAGTAGTTATACCTACATGAATAAACGATTTTTGACTTTACTTGACTTGACTAATTATTATGTCAACATATATCTTGTTTAGATTTTAAATGGTATTTAATCATCAGGTATACCATAAAACAACGAGATCGATTAAAAATGCTACCCTAATATTTGGCCATCGATTTTAAAGTTTGTGGAAATTGTTAAAAAAATGGTTTTAAAAAAAAAAGGGGGGATTTTTTTTCGCCCCGGGGAAAAATTTTTTTTTTTGCGCCAAAATGTTCCAAAAGCCCTAATATTTACTAACG